CCACTCATCAAACCACATTTTTCTGATTTAGCAAACTTTTCCTTTTTTTTTTTTAGCAAAACATATAATGCTTATGAAATGTGTTTTTTTTAAGATATAAACTGCCCAACATTATATTCAAGTACGGCTGAGATTTGCTACTTCTTCTTTTAATTATTTGAATTTCCTTTAAATAATAAATCATTTGAATTTGTTTCTCATCATTTTGAATGTTTACTATTGTTGGGCAAATCTCTCAATGCCAGCATTAATGCATGAGAAATAATAGTTTATTTACATTTGATATAATGCAATAACAGTCATTCGGGGAACTTCTTTCTACATTTGTATAAGTTCCTTTTTCCCTAGCTTTACTAATGGTGAGTTACGTTTTTAATGCACAACTTGAAACTGATATATTCTCCGTGTGGTATTACTACTTTTACACAGAGGTGGGAGAAGTACTCAGATCTTGTACTTAAGTAAAAGTACCAGAGTGTAGGCAGACTCTGTTTCAAGTAAAGGTCCAGCATTCAAAATGTTACTCAGAAGTACACAAATATTAGCATCAAAATACACTTAAAGTACCAAAAGTAAAAGTAGTCATTGTGCAGATTGGTCCATTTCAGAATAATATATATGATATGTTTTATAATGATTGATCATTAAAGTGTTCTCAAAGCTGGTAAAGGTGCAGCTAGTTTGAATGACTTTGTATACTGCAGGGTAGCTTGTCAATTTACTCCAGGTGGAACTAAAGTCTGATTTAACACTTGATTAGATTTCACATCATTCATCCAGATCTGTAAAGTAACTAAAGGTATTAAATACATGTAGTGGAGGAAAAGTACAAAGTAGCAACACTTTAAATGCTCAAGTAAAGTACAAGTCCCTCAAAATTGTACTTAAGTATTTCACTAAATGTACCAGTTACTTTACACCTCTACTTTCACATTATTAAAGGATCTGAATAAGTTCTCTTTTGGCCACTTGTACCCTAACCCTCAACAGCAGAGTGGCTGTAATAGTATAAGTGTCTGTATTGAAGCCGATGGAAACACTTTAGAAGTTTGCTTAGAGGTCCTTTATGTATTTGTCTTTTCTGAAAGCAATGGATCAACATTTAGGGAAAATGTGCTTTCCTGTATCAGTGGGAAGATAGATGGCACTTTCATATGTGTCTGTTATCCTTTCTATTGTCTTCGTTTTCCCCCCCTTACTTTGGTGTTCACGGTCAAATTTGACCGGTCCTGTTTTAACTGGGGGGGGGGGAAAGGAGGCGTGTGGTGCAGTGGGTTCTGTGTTGGTGTTCGGATCAGGGGGTCACAGGTTCAAACCCCACTGCAGGCAGCATGTCGTTGTGTCCCTGAGACACTTCACCCCAAATTGCTCCTGGATTGTCCACAGTATTGAGTATGTAAGTCGCTTTGGATAAAAGCGTCTAACAAGTGACATGTAATGTAATGTTTGTGTGTGTGTTTTATCTGATCCGGATGGTTACTAATTCCTTTTCTTTATGGCGGTGATTTTTGACCGGGAACACCATAGGTGTTACAAAGTTGACTAAATCATCCAAAATTCAATGAAAGTGGTGATCAGCGATTGTATATGTTCAAATGTCTACTGTGAAGGATATCATAAAGCCTTAATGCAATCGAATGTAAAACAAAAAAGTTATGAGAGTAGTAAATCGGTCAGATTTGACCCGAAGACCACAGGAGGGTTAAACAAAAGGCTACAGCAAGCAGCTGGTTAGTAGTCAACAGACTGAAAGGCCAGTCTGGATCAACAACGTCTTATTGATATAATATCATCATTTATTTGTTCATTATATTTTGTATTATTCATCTGAATTTCGAAACACTTTCTTTTTAAATGTAGACGAATACAAAGTAAAATATTTGCCTTTGAATTGCAGTGAGGTAGAAGTATAAAGTAGTACACAAGTATATCCATGTGTAACAAGTGACTCATATACAAACCTTTATCATGTTAGCATCTGTAAGAGACTGCCCTCCAACGATTTCGCTCTCATATTATAAATTCATCCCGCAATCGTTCTCTAACTTGATATTCTGTGTCTTGTGCTCTTTGGTTCCTCCTTCTTTTTATCTGTTTCAATAGGCAACATTATCATTTTGTCTTATTTGATTTATTAGGTTATTTCTATTTTTCCCATGCAGTGTAATGGCTTTCCCCCTAAACATGTATTATCTATTAGTTGGAAGTAAAGTATTTTACACCATGCTTGGGGTGAGCAGATATATAAATGCATTGTTTTAAATTGACTGACATTTCATATCAAGTCAAACTTTGGAAATATGGCTGCTCACTGTTATGTAACAAAAAGCTGGCTGAAAAGTCCACTAACAATTATCTGTAAGAAAGGAAATAAACTGCTACTTGGCAAAATAATATAAAAACATCTAGAAATGTTAAAAGACTATATTATACAAACTGTAGAAAAATAAATCTTAGTAGCCTATTTGCACTATTGACGTTACTGTAGAACAGCACACCACTGTTTGAGGCTTTCAAATGTAAGATGTATTGTTTTATTTTAACAAAGTGATCTCATGATTCCTTCTGATGTTATTGCAGATCTGCTGTAAGCTAGCTAGCTACTGTAGCTAACATAGTCATTTCCAATATACTGACAAAACACTAACAATCATGGGCGGTTCTGGGGGGGCCAACAGGGGCCAGAGCTTGGACCCCCCTGTGGCCCCCAATAAAGAGAATACATCTATGATAATGCAATTCACGTCAAATATGAAGTTACTGTGCTGTAACCTGGGCCAAGTTAACGTAGTAATGTCATTGAATACATTGAAACTAAGTTACTGAAACAAGTGTTGTGACTAAAACAAATATTAAGAAATAAGAGCTTAAGAAAAACTGAGTTTGGCTGTATAAATAATGTTTTAATTTTTTCTATCCCAAACTTCTTTTAACGTTTTGTATCTTGGGCCAAAGTAACTTAAACAAAACATTGTGACAAAGTCATTGACACAAACTCTGTTACTAAATCAAACACCAATAATGGTATTTTATGTTTTTTTAAGCGCTTTGACTTGATACTAAAAATGTAAAATCTCCTTCTTTCTGAATTAAATGTGCCCCTCTCATTCAATTATTGCTTCCCCCAGTAAAATTAGTCTCGAACCGCCACAAGATTATTACAAAACATTGTTGTTTCACAGACTGGTGAATGTTAGGATTCAAATATATTTTTGATTTGCACTGTAACTTTTTGCTATATACAAAAACATGCCTTGCATTGCTTTAGGATTTTATCTGACTCTGAATATTACTGTCAGTTGATTTATCCTAAATTCACCAAAACGTAACATTAGACACCTCATTTGCATGTGAAAATAATGTTTAAAAAAACTCGATAAGAAAATAATAATCATCTTCATGGGGAAGTTTCTATTTTACACAATTAAAATGTAGAGCCTTTAATATTTTTGGAAATTAACAAGACATTTCTTTAAAGGATGTTTTCTCAGAATATTTTTTTCATATCCTAAATGTTTTTCCAAATTTAAATCAATTATCCTTGGAAATGTAATAGTATTTGATGTAAGAGCTTAAGAAAAACTGAGTTTGGCTGCATAAATAATGTTTTAATTTTTTCTATCCCAAACTTCTTTTAACGTTTTGTATCTTGGGCCAAAGTAACTTAAACAAAACATTGTGACAAAGTCATTGACACAAACTCTGTTACTAAATCAAACACCAATAATGGTATTTTATGTTTTTTTAAGCGCTTTGACTTTATACTAAAAATGTAAAATCTCCTTCTTTCTGAATTAAATGTGCCCCTCTCATTCAATTATTGCCCCCCCCCAGTAAAATTAGTCTCGAACCGCCACTGCTTACAATGACGAAACAGACTCTGACAGTGGCAGCTGGCCCAAGTTGGTGAATGTTTTCTAAACACTGTGCATACAAAGTTATTGAAGATTCCTTTAGGTGTGTTTTGGCACCGTTTTGGCACCGTTTCTGACAATGGACATTTTTTGAGCCGTTGTAGCGTTTTGCACCTTTTGGCCACAATACATTTGACCAGGAAACCCATTCTCACTGTATAAAAGATTATTACAAGCTTCAATAATAGATGCTCATCACATGTTTTTACAAAATAGAGAAAGGCACAGGTGGATTTTGCAGACAGTTTGAGGTGTGCTTGTGAAACCTGTCCTTCCTTCAGTGTACATCCAGAGCAGCCGCGCTCCAGTTAGCTGGCTCTTTACTCATACAAAGCATGCAGAGAGGAGATGTTATCACACGTTAGTAATTCTGCTTACCAGAATTCTCACCAGCATTTACTTGACCTACATTGTTTACGATTCGTTAACGTGTAGGAGTGTTACTAGTCATTTGTTTTATACGACTGGGAAAAATAAATCACAGTTGAGGCTGTTAAAAAGAGTTTCTTAAAGGTATACGGTCACCCTTGCAGGCCTCAGAGCTGAGATCTTTTTAACAAGACAAATACGTTTTTACTTAATCTCCTTTTTGTTGATAAAATGCCCTCTACATTTTTTTTTCTCTAAAGATTCAAAGATACTTTTCTGTTTTTGCTTTCAAAACACATTTTAGGCCTTAAAAGTAATAAGTAATCTGTCACAATCAGCCACAACAAAAAGGTCCAAAGTTGAACATTTTCACACCCTTTTGCGAGATCAGACACATGAAAGTGTAACCTAGCTCACACTTGAACATTTCACACAGCTTTTCCTATGTGCTGTGACTTCATTGTGACATAATGGGGTCAAGTAAAGAAAGCATTTATGAGAACAAAAAGGTACAACCGATCAGCAGAAGTTTTTCCATTTGTTGTTAGGGAATTATAAAAATGCATATGAAGTGATGGAGATGTAAATGGATATGAAATTCAGAAAGCATTATCTTATCTGTAGATTACAATCAGGGACAGTCATAGTGGAAATGCACCGCAGCACACGCCAGCGCAGCCTGCCTGCATATAAACAGAGGATGGAGACGCAAGGAGAGAGAGGAGCGCCCAGTTACTCCGCATCGAGACGACTCAATCATGCTGCTGGTGAGTGCTTTCATTCTACCGACGATCAAGATTACTTTAAGGTTTATATTCTACAAAATGAATGCATTTTTCATCAAATATGCTCACATTTTATGAAAAATTCATGTTTAATTTTACTTTGAATTACGAAGTCTTCCTCATGTTGAGAACATGTCTTTGAGGTCAATTCAATTGTATGCAAGATTTCACATTCAGACAATATAAATAAATGAATGAAGTAAAAAGGTTAAAATAGGAATAGATACAGTATATCACAATATATGTACATTAAGTCAATTACTATGTTAGAAAGTCTGCTCACCAGATTTCTCACCATTTTCTTGACATACGTACCTTGTGTATACTGTGCTAGTGTCTAGGTGTAGTTACCAGTCTTTGTTTTATATGACTAGGAAATATAAATCAAAGTGGAGGCTGGATACTGTCTATAGGTCAGATCCCCAGATCAGGCCTTAGATCCCAGATGTTTTTATAGGACATCCAAAATTAGTTTTTATTTAATGTGGTTTTCTTTGATCAAATCCCCTCTGAATATTTGTTTTCCTGTGTAAGTCGAAGAGTACATGCTTTTTTCTGCTTTTCCTCAAAAATATATGTTATGCCTTAAAAGTAAGAAGTAACAAACTGTTCACAGCCACATCAAAAAGGTCCACAGGTGAACATTTTGACACCTTGACAGGTTTTCTTATGGTTTTCTGAAATGTTTAAATACGCAAATCTAGGGTGGCTGACGGGGGCCAATGAGTTACAACGGCCCAAAACACTTCAATTATTAGACACGTTCTGCAGTTTCAAATACGATTGCATATGATAAAAAAAAAATCAGGCTTATATCAACTTTGGGGAATTTAGGAGAAATCTAGAGACATTATTACAAATGAGGTTAATAAAATAGACACTTAATTGTGTATTTTGGTTGTTTCTTTCTGGCCATAGCAGTTATGAGAGCAAATGAGCCCAAACTCTCATAACATTTTTTGATAGTTTCTGGTAATGAATTTAATTGATTTAAAAAGGAAATCCAGCGTAACAATAACACAGAGACAGAAACGGGGCTAATGAAACATTTCTATTAGACAACCTCAGGTTTTCTCTTTTCTCCACCCTCCTCTGGATTTATCTTCAGCTGCTGTGTGTTTATCTCGCCTCCTCGTGTTCAGGTGTTGAGAACTGTGCTGCTGCTGGGCCTGGCCTCGTTGTTGCACGCTGCCGGGGGAGGCCAGGCGGTGAGCTTGAGTTTGGGGAATGGATCCAGACTGAGGCTGGTGATGGATCCCTCAGTGCAGAATCAGCGCATCAGCACCTCTGACTCCTCCATCGCCAACATGTCTCTGTCTCCGTGGACGTACATGTGAGGAGACGTCGCCCAAATATAAGGGCCCTTGATGACATTTTTCTTGTTGCCGAAAGTGTGCAGTGTTTATACCTTCAGTTGTCATTTATGCACTTTGAAGGCGAGACACCACAGGAAAAAACATTGTTGTTTCACAGACTGGTGAATTTTAGGATTCAAATATATTTTTTATTTGCACTGTAACTTTTTGCTATATACAAAAACTTGCCTTGCATTGCTTTAGGATTTTATTTGACTAACTCTGAATATTACTGTCAGTTGATTTATCCTAAATTCACCAAAACATACACCTCATTTGCATGTGAAAATAATGTTTCAAAAAACTCGATAAGAAACTAATAATCATCTTCATGGGGAAGTTTCTATTTTACACAATTAAAATGTAGAGCCTTTAATATTTTTGGAAATTAAAAAGACATTTCTTTAAAGGATGTTTTCTCAGAATATTTCTTTCATATCCTAAATGTTTTTCCAAATTTAAATTAATTATCCTTGGAAATGTAATAGTATTTTATGTATAAGTGTTTTTATTGTACCACATTCAAAAGAAGCCTTGAAGATAATATGTATTTCCTTCCCCTGCAGAGACTCCTGTGTGCCCTCCCGGTGGCCTCAGAGGATCTCTCACGCTCAGTGCCTGACCTCTGGCTGTCTGAGCCTGGAGGGGGGGGGGTGAGGACGCAGCTCTGGAGGCCAGACCCATCTACTACCAGGTCCTCGTCCTCCACAAGTGAGCCCCTGTCTTTGTTTTGGCCTCCGTTTTTGTTTCTAATGCAAGTTACAGTGCTACAACTGTTCTTGTGTTTAGGGAACGCAGTACGTTCATTGCGTTGGACGCGTGGTCTGACACAACATGAAAATAACTGCTGGGCATTCAATTAAAGGCAGATTTCCCATATAAAACATTTTTTTATTACTGGATATTTTTTATGTATACCTACCAGTAGGAAATTAGGTACATATTACCTCATTTTTATCTTAAGAGCAATTTTCACTTCCAGCCGTTCTTGTTTGAGATGATTTATTTGCTTTCAATCTTAATTGCTTTATTTTTTCTAAAGGTTTTTTTTTACTTTATATTACCCTTTCCATTCTTATCTTGTGGGCCAAGGATTTTTTTTTTTACTTAAATTTGAATGTATTTCAAAGTTTAAATGCTGGTTGAAAATGTAGTGTTTTACAGAGAAGTGGGATTTACACAAACACAATCAGGAACAGGAGTTTATTTCTTTCTGGCATTTATTACTCATGTAATTGTACATTATGGGATGCTCATCTGTTCATCAGTTGGGAACAATTATTTTTTGTTAGACATTTTTTATTTAAATTGATATAGTGTTCATTAGTCAATGTCAAACACAGAGACTAAACACATAAAGCATTGTCATTTTGAACAGATGTTGCATTCATTGGATTATACTGATTGGATTTATTTATTAAATTGACTTTTGCTTGTTTCTTTCTTTCACTTTCTGCGATACAGTTCAATTAATGATTCAATTTAATATCTCATAATGACATCATCTGTATATTTTCACCTTTTGTTATTTTCCCATCCCATTCCAGAATCCTAAGGCCAGTGCACAACCACAAAGCAGGAGGGAGGAAGAGGAGGCAGTTTGACTTCAGGCTGGGGACGGAGGTGATCACGGTGGGCTGCACCTGTGTGAGGCCCAGCGTCGTACCGCAGCGGCCATAACAGGACACTTTGGAATCCTTTAAATAGATGTGTGAAGTTTACAAAGACAACACAATTATGACTCTTCCACTTTCTAGTGTGAGTAAGCCTTTTCATTTAAGCCAGTTAAACTTATTATAAACCGATGATTTGTGAATTGCAAAGAGTGTGTTTCTGTGCCCCCTAGTGGTGAGGAAATGCTTAATGCAGCTTTCATTTGACATTTACTGTATGTCATTTTCTTATAAAAGGGGTAGTTGTGAAATATATATCGTATGCTATATTAGTTTTGGGGGGTTTGGTCATTTCAATATTTTTTTCTTTTCTCTTATATTGTTTTGTAATAACCCTGTTTTTGTTTAATTGTTCACATCATGAAAAATCTTTAATAAAGTTTTAAAGCCAACTGTGATGTCTAATTGGGCTCTGAAATGTATTATATATATTTTTCGAAACAACAATATTATTTGTATTCTGTAATTTAAAAGTACACACTATAAATTGTTTTACTTTATATAGTAATCATTTATATTTATGCCTTGTTGTCTTGTTTTATGGATTCGACCAATTAAGCAAAGAAAGTACATTTGAAAAAAGGGAACCAGTGTATAGTCTACTTAAAATCGTTTGTATTTTCCTTTATAGATACTAAAATTATTATCTAGCGTCTTTATTCAAATTAGAACTGTAGTTTATTATCTAACCTTTGACTTTGATTCATATTTTGTTATAAAATGTAATTTCAAATATAGATTGAATTCTTATTTATCATAATATATTGGTTTGGAAAAACTTCCCCAACAACCTCTAGCAAAAAATGCCTGTACGTAACCTGAAAGGCAAGACCCAGGGCAAAGAAAACCCAGTAAAATGTCAGTGTGTTTATTTGCATGCAAAACATCCAAATATGATATCAATCCACGAATGATGAGAAACAATGTGTGAGTTCAGTCAAGCCGTTTTTACTGACCATGCCAAATAAATACAATCAATCCAGCCTCGAAGATATACAGCGATACACAGTTACAGCAAGTACAAACCCCATGTTACCACTCCCCAGCTACAGTGCAAACATTTTAGACATTTCAATCAAGTCAGTATGACTCAACAACTCGAGCAAGTTTCAACTTTCTGTTTCGGTTTACTTTACCTTTGGAAATCATAAACTGACAGTCAGAGCACATTTACACATGCCAAAGCAAAGGGAGAGCGCTGTAAGCCAGAACCCCCCCCCCCCCCCCCCCCCCCCCAAATTCATCTTTTCAAAATCAAATTAGTCCAAATTCTGAACTGCTGTGACTCACTACTCTTTGCGATGTTATTGTTGTTTATACTGTATATTCCTGCTGTCCTTCATGTGTGCTTTTGAGTTGTGCTTAAAATTAAGAGTGCAATCAGTGCTCTAAATCTAACAGTCAAATGCAAGTCACTGATCTACAACTACACTACCGTTAGAGTTTCACAAAGAGCCTGAAAATACAGCAGGGCTCCCTCTGTTTCCAAGTTTTTTTAATTCCTTTTATTCCCCCTTCGCGCTGCGGAAAGAAACGAAAGCCTGATTCCTCATTTTATATTCATAAACCAAGTCGTGAGATTTACTGAGGTCTGAGACGTCCAGAGACAGCAATCCCAAAAATTGTGCAGTGAAGAATTAGCATGGCAGACCAAGGGAAATCCATTTTTATTTTTATTTCAGAAACAGCAGAAGGGTTAGGGTCGTGTGTACTGACGGGTACGTTTTTTCTCACTGGTTGTGACTGAACTACATCTGTGTGTCCATTTCTTTATAGCACATCATGTTTTAATTGGTAACAATTTAGATTACAACTCCCTTTTCCATAGTAATAGTCTGATTGGACATCAATGGTGTTGGCCGTGTTTCTGCAAAATTGTCAGCATCATCAAAGCATCATCAGGAGAAACAGCTCGGCTAACGATGCTAAAATATGCAGGCGGTTGTCCTTTCCTGCAGAAATGAAAGGTATCATTCAAATTGTTACCTCCTCCTCTCTTGATGCAGCTTTTATTCTTCACCAAACAACCATTGTCGCCCCGCTTTTAAAATTTGATTTGTTTTCGATGCAACCCAACCCCCCTACCCACTTTCATTTAGAAAAAAGAGATTTTATTTTCGGATTTCAACATCAAGCGTCGGCTAAACTTTGTACAGCTTGTTCAGAATCGTTAGAGCATACATCAAATATGAAAAAGCTATCCCCTTTGTTCGAGTTGCTTTTGGGTTTCTTTCTTTCCTGCACTGTTTTGATTCCCTTCTTTTTTTTACCAACTCGTTAAACTCCCGCTCTTTTTCCTTTCATCGTCTTCTCCACTCATCTATCGGCAGGCTTCCTCCTTCATCTCCTTGTTCTTCCTCACTTCCTCTGCGTGTTTGTCCTGCCAGACAAACACAGAGACATTGCAACATCAGAGTCAATAGCATGCATGAATACATTAGCATTAATGAGGCAGGAACGACTGTTCATAAAACTTTGAACAGGGGAATTACTTAGACTGGGGAGAACTAACAACTATTTTCCGCCCTATATAATATTCATCATTACTGATCAAGCTTGTGTGGAACATTAAAATAGAAATGAAAACCCAGTCTAAGATACGGAAGGCACGCCTCATTTGCACACAAAAAACCCTCCAATATCAGGTCTCAAAATGAAAAGAAATGTATTTGAGAAAGAATCTTTAGTTTTAGAGGTGCGAATGTGTGGATTTTTTAGTTGAAGCTCTGGACAGAGCCAACCTTGCAGTTTTCCCTATTTCCATGCTAAGCTAGGTTAGCTTCATGCTGCTGGTGGTCAAATATTGGTGACAAGTATGGAGCTAGAGCGAGGAGACCATTACCTTAGCTTAGCATAAAGGTTCATTGTTGTTTTTACATTTATGTCTCTGTATAAATTAAATAAACACAGATTAAGAGATGTAAAAAGGTCAAGTTGCTCTGGCCTTGAGTAGTATCAATCTTCACCTGTTTTCAGTCTTTATGCTAAGCTAAGTTCGCTTGGTGATGCTGGTGTACAAATATAGGCTACAATTATGGAAAGGAGTCTTTTACCCTAGCTTAGCATAAAGATCATAAATTGTTGTTTTTACATTGCTATTTCTGAATGAATTATGTATTATATTAACACAATGCAAATTGTTAAGTAGTCTGATTTAGATATGTAAAAAGGAAATATTTTTTATTTATTTAAGAGACAGTTAACTACCTGTTTCCTCTGTCCAGTTGTTATGCTAAGCTAGGCTAATTGTCTCAGAGCTCTAGCTTTGGGTAGTATCAATCTTCTCATCTAACTTTTCGTTTTTCGGCAGTGACATTATTTTTAAAGGAACAGTTTCGACATATTGGGAAATAAATGTTTTCACTTTCTTAGAAGATAGTTAAAAGCGAAGATTGTACCACTGTCATCTAACTGTTTTATAGGGTGATAATAAGCATATTTCTCAAATGATGGACCCTTTCCTTTAATAATAGCCTACCCAAATTACAGTGCACTATAGATCAAGTTTGGGCCTAGGCGCCTAGCATTAAACATTTGACTTTCTGCACTGAAAATAACTTCATCATAATGTTGGATTCCAAGAGGGGGATCGCACAAGTTGAACTCCCTGGAATGAGGACTGGGTTACTGGATACCATACATTTAGCTGAAAAAACACTAACCTAACAGCAAGAGTTTCCAGGAAAGAAAAGATTGCAAAACTTGATCTGTGTCTATGATTCATTTCTTCCATATATCTGCTGTGCTAGGTCCTGACTGATTACAAAAAATACTGAGAACAAAAGTCCATGAATTCATCATCTTTTAGTTATGCATGAGAAAAAGAAATATGGAACACCAAAACCGTTCATGACTATTAATACCATCCAACAATGGTTTTAAATGATCATACCTTCTCCTGCAGCCTCTCCAGCATGGCGGCCAGCAGGGCCTCCCTGTTCTCCTTGTTGGCCTCCATCTTCTGCTCAAGCTTCTCCTTGACGTTCTTGATGAAGTTGTTGTTCTCCTCCAAGGCCTTCTGGATCACCCCGCGCTCGTGCTCTCTCTTCTCCGCCAGGTGCTTCAGCAGCTCAGCCTCCTGGCACTAGAGGGAGATAGAGAGCACAGAGGGTAAATCAACTTTAACTGCAGATGCTAAATAAGTTATAGGCTAATGTGTTAGTATGTAAAAGTGCTTCTTCTTTGAGTGGCACAGATGATTGCTCTAAAGTTAGTTTTTAAAAACAAAAAAGTAATTTACATTATTGCTGACTGTATATGCATTTTAAACAGCAAGGTTTCTTTAAAATTGCATGTTGTTAAACTTTTACTTCAATTCATCAACTTGGTAACACAGAGAGCGTAATTGATTGACAAATGTTTATTTTGTAGGTAACCTAAACGGTTAGCACTTAAAAACACAGTTCATCTGCATCCTCAGGATTGTGTAAGTGTAAATAAGTTACATCACCTTTTTCAAACTAAGCCCTGCCCACTACAAACCATGGAAAATAGTGTGTTGTAAAAAAGAAAAACTGAAATGTCCAATAAAAGAACCAAAACTGTTTATCTTGGCAGAATATGGTGTTTTTATATTGAACTCCATTACTTATAGTCAGAAGCTGATAAGAGGCTGAGAATATACATTTTCAGGGCCTTTAATGCAGCTAATAAACACATGATTATAAACGGAAATGTGTGATGTTGCAGGTGTGTGTGACCGCTTTGTTTTGCAGGACACATTCTCTGTGCCAGCTAATTTCCCTCTCCCCTCCCCTCCTCCCCCGTCTCCCCCTGTCCTCTTAGCCTGATGAATATGATCTTTTGTGAGTGTGTCCTTTCATGATTGCCCTTGTACTTTCATGTCCCCCTTTTCATCTTCCCGCCGCTTGTGTTTCCTCCCTTCCTTCGCATCAACTCCAACACTCCCTCCCTCTTTCCTTTCATCCATTTCCACCCTATTTCCTCCCGAGTTGATAAATCAAGCTGCCCACAAAGAGCGTTGTCAGATGTTTGACAATGTTTGAAAGAGCTACAAATAGGGTTACAGCTTAGGGTTAGGATCTGTCCAGTTGGATGATACAAGCACCCAACCCCACCTCTTCTCAACTCCCCTCACCTTTCGCCTCTCCTCGGCAGCCTCCAGTTTCTTCTGGATCTCCTCCAGAGATGGGTCTCGGCGCTGTGGCATGGAGGTGTTGAGCTCTGGCACTCCGTCAAAGGACGGGGGCTTGAGGATGACCTCGAAGGCCTGGCCAGATGTCCTCTTGTTCAGCTCAATCACCTCCACGTCTTTGATGACGCGCCAGCCCAGGTCCACCGCATCTGTGGTGTTGGGTTTTGGCCATGTTTAGATAATGTAATAATAATAAGATAGAATAACACTGTTACACAC